GTATAGCACCCCCAGGACAAAAATCTACTAGCCGCCACTGCTAGAAGGCATGATCACATCACTCCAGTTTTAGCCAATTTACAATGGCTGCTTGTTCATTTCATTCGAGATCTTCCAGTCAGATGCTTTTAGTGTAGCCCAGGGCAAAATGTAAGTGCAGACAGGATCAGGCTTGGCAGCACGGTGGCACAACTGGTAGAGCTGCTGCCTCTCAGCGAGCAGGTCCCTGGTTCAAATCCCAGTCCGGGGGCCTTTCTGGGTGGAGTTTGCATGTTCTCTCCGTGCATGCATGGGTTTTCTCCGAGTACTCCAGTTTCCTCCCACAGGCCAAAAACATGCATGTTAGGCTGATTGGTAACTCTAAATTGTCCCTAGGTGTGAGTGAGAGAATGAATGGTTGTTTGTCTCATTTGTCTCTATAGCCCCTTATCCACAGGGCCTTTTGGGGCTCCTGTGTAACTAGTTCGGGCCGATTGCGTGGTTTATCCCCAATGCCTTCAGCGGTGGAACCCACCCCATTTTTGGGACCTACTTCTCTGAGGTCCCAGTCTGGTTCTTGTTGGGTCTAGATGTGACATCAGCGCACTGTTGGTCACTGATTGGTCTGGGGGCGTATTCATTGGTGGAGGGCGGAGATCAAGGAGGTCATCCATTTTGGTTGTGTGTTGTTTTCCGGCTCTTCTTCTAATACATGCTAGTGGTGCTTAGAAAAGAGCTTAATGTAGCACTAGCGCCACCAGCTGGTAAGGTGCATTGATATTAATAATCCGTCCACTAGAAGTGAACAATCCGCCCACTAAACGGGAACTATGGGCACTGTGGAGACAGAAAAAAAGAGGTCCCACCAGAACCGGACACAACAGGGTCCAACAAGAACCGGCCCTGTGGATAAGGGGCTTATGTGGCCCTATGATGGACTGGAGACCTGTCCAGGGTGTACTCCGCCCCTCGCACAGTGACCGCTGGACATGGGCACTGGCGAACCCCGTGACCCAAAATGGAAGAAGCGGGTAAAAAATAATGGATGGATGGATGGGATGAGGCTTTTGTAGTGGTAACCCCCAGACTCTGGAACAACCAGAGCAGGAAGAACATACATTTTTAACAGTGTATTGATATCCCTTTCATCTTCTTCCTTTCGTCTAGGATACCACATCCATTACTATGCCATAGTGATATCTAATATCATAGTTATAGTTATGTAGAAACAACAGAGTATGCCCACTTCTAAATGTACGGTATAATATATAAGGTAAGAGTATGTTGTATGTATATTTTTGGCTTCCTCCATCCTCATGTTCTCTTTTTCTCATCTGCCTGGATGTTGTATGCAACACGTCTCTGAGTCTTCGAGGCTCAATGGGAACTAACCTGTATATATAAAGGTCTAATAGTAATAATGATAATAATAATAATAATGTAGAATGTTACTGTACATCGAAGGCGAAACAATTCAGCACAAAAAAAAAGAAACTGTCCAGATGACCTGCCTGAAAAATGTTGGATTGTATACCTGGATTATTGAGCATGGACTTTGTTGTTACTGTACATCGTTTCCATAGAGAGGTAAAGAACTTATCTAATCTGTTTTTATCTTCTGACAGTATTTTCTGTCATTATGAAGCACCGATTTAACGTGTCCTTCCTCGTTGATATCAAGCAGAAAAAAATGTGACTGTGAGAATACTTGTTGCGTAGCTGTTGGTTATCTAAATATGTGCAAAGTAGTTTACTGTTGTTGTAAGTTCTGCGATGGAGTTAAATTCAAAGCAGTCTGCTCCTCTGATAAATGGTGTCAAATTATTATTTTATATATGAATGTTTCTGTTAAATTATTATTTTTATTTAAAAATGTTTGTTCAGTGCCCTGAGATGATTACTGTTGTGACTTGGCGCTATGTAAATAAACTGAATTGAATTGTAACAAAAGCTCATAAAAAAATGGTAGAAATAAATGTTTTTTTTCATTCAACCTTTATTTAGACAGGTAAATCCCATTGAGCCTCAAGGACTCCTTTAAAAGAGAGACCTGATTTCAACAAAGAAAGATGACAACAATGGACAACAGCAACAACAATAAACAATTATAAAAAGTCATACTGCAGGGTTGTTTTTTTGTTGTTGTTGTTTTTTTTTTACAAATAGGATGGCTAAAAGAAAAAGGTAACAAGAAAACAGCTAGATTCTAAGGTGAATGTAGAAAACTAAAAACAGGAACATGTCTGCATTGGTCCCTGCCAGGAGTCCAACAGATTCTTAGACACTTAGAGAGGTCAAGGTGGAGAGCTTCAAATCTTTTTGTAAGATATTCCAGGAAACAGGAGCGGAGTAGGAGAAGGAACTTTTGCCTAGTTCAGTCCTCACTGAGGGAACACTGCAGGTAATAATGTCCTGAGAGCGCACGCCGTAGCTGCACTCACGCAGAGACATGTAGGAGGAGATGTATGAAGGCAGCAGTTTACCCAGTTTTGTTAAAGAAAATGTAAATTTTCTATAAATATAATAGAAATAATAATATAATATAAATATACATTTTCTGTTCAATTATCAGCCAAAAACAAGCAAGTAAACTTTTCAGAAATACTTTTATTTAAAATAATTTGATGTGGAAGAAATAAACTAATTACAAAACAGTAATTATGGTAATTAATGAAAAAAAATATATGCAACTCTGGTATTGGTAAATACACAATAAATATAAAAAATGGGTGTCAAAGAGTTGAACAATACAAAGGAAAATAATGAAACACTTGAGTATTTTACAATTCAGGTGAAACTATCATATAGTTTCAGAATATTGACTTCTTACCTTTAACTTGGGTATGATACCCTAATAATTTACAAAATTTCATCCTTAAGTTTTAACATTAGCTGAAAAACAAAAATCTTATTTGACCTAGTAAAAAACATTTTAAAAATATTTTAACGTATAAAATTAATTTTTTATAACATTTATAAACTAAAGTTTTTGTTTACTTTATAAAACAAGTGCAAGAAAGCTGTATTGGACTTTCTTCACCATATGTGAAACAAGTGGTATTTTTGTACAACAAAATTAAATGAGGCAAACAGAAACACTTTTCGTACCAGTTATGAACCATTAAACCTACAGTGGGTAAAAGTAACAATAAATAAAACACTAAAATAGAAATGAGCCTGTTTGCACTGATGGCTATACAAGGTTGGAGAAAAAGAAAGTTGAGCCTTTTAGATCGTTTTTATTTGGAACATCGAGGTCCAAATTATCTGTATGAAAATCAAGCCCTCCAAGAGTGCTAAATTTGCGATTTACCATTTTTTGATTTTGTGCTTGCGTCGGGAAAACAGTGACGTAGTATCCATCTGAACTCTCAGTTACTTTTCCTTGTGAATTTTGAGATAAATTTGGAGAACATGAAGTGGATTCTTCACTACTTATTGGCATTCCTCTGGTTTTTCTGGAGTCCCCCATGTCAACATTAAGCCCTGAAGAGAACATCCCCTCTTTATAAATGAAGGGTGACTGGAGGTCCAGGTTTGAACCCCTGGCTCTGAGCACATGGTCTTTTTCTGTGAAATCATCAATGTTGAGGTCTGAATGATCAAAGTTAATATACTGGTGTAAAGCATCATCCACTGTGGGGTAGCTGGCCCTTACTTTGGTTCCAGATGATTTTCTGTTAGTGCTACGAAGTCTAATGTTTTCATCTATGTTCAGATCAGGGTTTTTTATACCTATACTTGCCATATTTGATTTGTGAGTTTTAGGGGAAGGTCCTTTGAATTTTATTGAAGGATCATCGATATAGAGATCTGGAGATCTGAGATGCAGCTGTGGACTGGACTTTGCAGCTTTAGACATGTTCAAGTCTATGTTTGGAGCACTAACATTTGGACCTTTTAACTCTCCTGTTATCTGAGGTTGAGTGAAGTTCATTTTAGATTGTGGGATGTTACCATTTACTCCTAGGTCTGGGTGATTAGTACTGATGTCAAGCTTTGGACCATTTACCCTTGCACGAGATGGATCTGGCAGACCTACTTCAGGACCTTTCAGCCTTGATCGTGGTTCTTTTGGACTTCCAACATTCAAATTTGGGATGTGGATATTGGCATCTACCATTTTCATAGCCAACTCTGGAGCTTTGAGGTTTATGTCTGGTGTGCCATGCTTGGTAACAGTGAGCCCACCCTTTGTCTTTGAAGTTTTAACATTCAAATCTGGAGCATTTAGATCTGAATTTATTTTCCGATTTGGTCCCTTTGGTAGTTTGGCATTAAGTTTTGGTGAATTGAGACTAGGGTTTGTGATATCTATCATTGGACCAGAAAATCCTACATCAGGTATTTTCATATGTGACATTTTTGATTTCCCTGATGGAGTGCCAAAATCAACATCTGGAACTTCAAAACCAGGTTTTGAACCTTTCACGTTCGTCTTTGGTAAATGCACATTGGGAAAATCAAGTCTAGCTTTGTTCTTTGGAAGTTTGAGATTGAGATCCGGACTATTTAGGTCTGGATTTAATGTCAAATTAGACCCTTTTGGTAATGTAGCATTCAGATGTGGTGAATTGAGATCAAGATCTGGGCCACCTAAATTTGGATCTGAAAACCCAATATTGGGTATTTTCATAGTTGGCATTTTAAGTTTCCTTGATGGGCTGCCAAAGTCAGCATCGGGTAATTCAAAACCAGTTTTGGAACTTTTCATGTTGACATTTGGCAAATCAAAGTCGTTGTCTGGGCCATCAATTTCAGGTCCTTTTAGGCTTGGCATATTAATGTTTGGCATTTTTAATTTAGCTTTTGGAGAACCAAAACTGACATCTGGAGTGTTTACATCTAACTTAGATGCACCTGAAAGATTCATTTTAGGCATTTTGAGTTTGCCCGAGGGAGCCTTCACATTCCAGTCTGGAGCATGAAGTTCTGGCATTTTGAGTTTGCCAGATGGCATGTCTAAATTGACCTTTGGGGTATTGAGGTCAAGTTTTGGGGTTTTAAGATCAAACTTGGGCATATTAATGTCAGGCGTATGTATTCCACCACTGAGTTTGGGAGCAGAAAAATCAAAATCAGGTGTTTTTAGGTCCAGGTTAGGGCCATCCAACTCTGGACCAGAAACACCTAGGTCAGGTAACTTTAAGTTTGGCTTTTTAAATTTCCCAGATAAATCTGGAAGATTCATGTCTAGATCTGCTTTAGGACTTTTCAAGTTGACACTGGGTGCATTTACATCAAAGTTTGGAGCATTTA